ATTCTGGTTTTTGATTGTCTTATGTCACACTCTTATCAGCTTTCTGGTCACTATGGAGACTATAAAACTGTGTAATGTAAAAAGCAGAGCAAAAAAAAAGAAATTTGCTTTCATGTCTTCTTTACACATTATGAAAGAGCAAAGATTGGGCAAAATTCCAGCTTTGAAAAAAGAACCTGTTAGGTAGCTTCTGGGATCACAGGCTTCTTAAAATCAGACAATATCAGTCTTAGTTTTAAAGACTCAAGTATTTTATTCCAGGTGTTCTTGGTTGCAAAGCCAAGAGCCTGATTCTCATACTTTTTTTTTTTTTTTTTTTTGCTGCAGATGCTGTCTCCTTGCATACCATATGGTGATAATTAACAGTTTCAGGCTTAGTTTAGGGTTGTCTTCTGCTTCGAATATCGGTTGGTTTGGGACAAAAATTTACTGTCAGAGAAACACAGTTGGTTTGAGTGTAATTGCAGACGGCAATAAAGTGCTTGTCTAGATGGGATGGAGAAGCTGAGATCAATTTGGAGCATTAAGTGATGCTTTGGAAATCTCACTGAGAACAACCTATTTCTTTTCGTTAGGCATTTTGCTGTCCCTTTTTAGAGTTGGAATTGGTCTCTGCTGGACCCAGAGAAAATCTGAAAGATACAGTTGGAATGAATAGGAACCTTTAACAGCAAAATGTTTGCACTTTTTATGAGAGCAAGGGTAACATTGTGTAATCTTTAAAAAAGATATTGCTCAGTGAGGATAAGTCCATTGTCCAGTGACATGACTTTTCCTGTCAATCACAAAGGTGACAAGGGGGCTAGATTAAGTAAAGCTTGCTCAAGATTAACAAAGGAAGATTATTGACCTCATCCCAAAAGGGCAGAAGCCTGTTTTATCATTAAACCTTGGAAGAGTTATTTCCTTCATAGGTGGAAAGCTGTTTGGCGATACAACGGCAACTCTCTTGCAACCGAGCAGGTCTTCCTCTGGGTTCTAGCTTGAGAGGGAAGCAGAAGACAGAACGCGTGGTCTGGTCCTTTTTGTTATTGTGGGGAAAGAAGGTACTGGGTTGTCTCAGCCAGCAGGATCTGGCCAGGTCTGTCGGCCATTCCGAAGTGGGAAAACCAAGAAGCAGCAGCATCAGGTGTGGGTGAGTATAGTCCCAGGGCAGGGTTTTGGGACATGTAGTGCCAGCTCGCATTAGCAGAGAAATTTGCAGCATAAATAAGCAACCGTCCCTATCCATGGAGCAGCTGCTGACTGCATCAAACCACTCTGGGATTAACGGAGCCAGAGGCTGCAGTGTAATCACACTTGAACAGGTGAAATGGTTGCAGCTGAGGGAGGAGTGATGGGTTTTTTTACCCCTTTTGGTGTCTGAGCTTTGTGTGGCTTTATGGAATCCACTTTAACATGCCACTAGTAGATACTCACGTCCTTAATACCATTTGTTACAGCGTTGTTGCTTTCCTCCCAGGTAACTAAAAAAAAGTTGTGTAAATGTGTTCTTTCAAAAAAGGAAACTGTTAAATCTCACTTGTTAGGGGGACCTGCGTTCTAGGGGATAAAGGTTGGGCTGTTGCTGGGATAGCTTTCCTGACGTTAAGGATTTCTCGGGATGTTTTCAGGGGGATGGTTAAACTCATGTCCGTCATTTCAAAGGAGTTTCCTTGCTGAAAGCTTTTTTAGATAGCCATAAGATAAGTTTTTTATTTGGAAGTATACTGTTCTGTTGCATTGTTTTTTGGTTTGGTTTGGTTTGGTTTTTGTTGTTACAGTCCAGAATCCCTGAAATTCCTTTTTCACTACCTCCAATAATGACTTAAGAAAGAACAAAATGAACCAAGGGGATGTAAAGTGAAAGCCAATAAAATAGCTGAGCGTTTCAGATGGCTGTTCTGAATGACAATAAAAGAACCATGGACAAGTGGGGAAGGCATGTTCTTGAGCTGATACACTAGAAGTGTACATGTTGGACTCTCATCACCACCAGTAGCTGATGTGCACACTCATCCCCTGCTCAGGAAAGGAGAGGATTCCTCTTAGATTGCAAATCACGCAATGAATGTGTGATTGCTACAGATCTTCTTGAATGAATAATTCACTGGTGTACTGTAATTTAGCCCACTGAGATGTGATTGCAGCTGTTCCCCTACTGTATATGTTTTGATTAAGTGGAGTGTATGTTAAATCTCACAAGTGTATAAATAGCCCACATATGTGATATGCAGGCACTGCATACATGCGCACATAACAGCAGTCTAGGAAAATAATTTGCTTTGGAGTTGACTACTTTAGATATATTGTTGAATCTATCATTTATCTTCTAAAAAGTGCTCAGGGCACTTCCCTTTCCTATCCATCCAGCTATAGAGTCTTCCTAATGGTGATTCTGTGTAAATGCTTTGAGTTTGCGATTTCGAGGCCTTTACTATGTAAGGAAACAGTTGCTTTGTGCCTATTTCACAGGTAGGAAATGGAAATGCAGAAACAGAAGTGACTATTCACATGGTTGCAGAGAACATTTCAAAAAACAAGAAGCTGAGTGTAACTCACAGACTGCACTTCTGTCCTTGCCCTGCACATTTCCTCTTCCTCAGAATGAAGACAGCAAATTTTTAGAGATCCTAGAAGTACTGACGGGGTCCATTTCAAAGCCAAGCAGTTTGAGAGTTCAAAGATCACCTTCTATTAACTTGCATGTCCCCCTAGATCTTGTGTGCTTATCTTTCTTCTCTTATAATGAACTTGTCATATACGCAGGATATATTTCTATGTATGAAAACACTTACCTGTACTCAAAATGTGCATAGAAACCACAGTGATAATTTCTGAGATTTAGACAGCTGCTGTAATTCCTTTGTGTTTGTGTCCGGAGTGTGACATATAGAGAAGCACAAGTGTGTGTCTTCGGTGCCCGTTCTGAGAGCTGATAGCTGGGAAAACAAGGAACTATATTTTTTCTATAAATAATTGATGGTATAGGTGGATTTAAGAACTGTAACTAAGGATGGTATTTGGCTTATGTGTCTTTGAAGTGTGAACCAGAAAGCAGCTTTCAGGATATTTCTTCTTTTGGAGTTGTTCATTGGAAAAAAAGTACTGCTTGATGAAAATGGGTTTGAATGTTAAATAAGGTCTGAACAGATCCTCTAGTCCACTATTTTGCTCATCTAGACCAGGATTAAAAAACATTGTTTCCTCAGGTTTATACATTAAAACAACACCACCACCACCATCATTCGACTACGACCCACTTTTGACTTTTTCCTGTTCACAACTAATAATATTTCAATTGCGTGACAAAAGCGGAGGGAGTTTAGAGAAAAAGAAGAGCATTTCTGTTGAGTTGGAAATTTTTGGGGGGCCTGGTCAAAAGCTCATTGACGTCAGTAGAAAGTCTCTCATTAACATCACTGGGTTTGGCTTTTGGGGCATATGACGGCCCAGATTGTAATCTCAGCTAAATCCGATTCTGTTAGGGAATTTATTCACTAGTATAACACATTCAAGCTGCTCAAAATTGTTTGCACTAGAAGTTTTCTTAACCAGCGATAATCTTTTTGCCATTCTTAACCAGCAGTCATCTGGTCAGTCTTTTTGACAAAATGAAGTAATCTTTGAAAAACAAATGCATTGTTTATATCTTCCATGCTGCTTTATTCAGATGTTATTGAGATCTCTTTTTAGCAATTTACATTCTACTCATGAAAGATCTCTCTTTTTTTTTTTTTTTTTTTTACTGTAATATTGAGGCTTAGGAAACCAGAGATAATAAAAATTAGTCAGGAAAAAAAAAAAAATGTAAAAAGGTAAAAAGGTAATGCAAATCACTAAAAATGGAAAATGCCTCTCCTTCATACTCTGTAAAATAAAAACAATGTGAAAATTGCTGAGACACTTTCGACCAACTCTGTGATTCACATCAGAGATGATCCAATGACTTTTTCAGAAATAATAATAATTAAACATCTGGAATGCAAAGGTGTAAGGAAATAAGATAAAATAATGAAAAAAACAAAAGTCTATTCTGTTAACGTTTGCAGTCTTGTGTTATGCAGTGAGCTTTGTTTAGAGACACTGGCCTAAGTTTTGCAAGATAGATGGCATATGTTAGCAGAGGGGAAAAAAGGGGGGTTTAGAAATGTGTACAAAAGGATATGAGAGATAAAAGGGAAAAGGAATATGGGCAGAGAATATTACTTTATGTTGGAGGAGGTGTGGAGGGGGACACTCTCACGTTAATGAAGGCGAGTTTGAAGATCTGGAACCAGTTTTGGTTTCCATTAAAATTAATGAGTAGACCTCTGTGGACTCGCAGGTGAGGAGGATTGTGTGTATATTCTGGGAAGCCATAGAGTTTTGTCACTGTGCCGCCAGTGCAAGTCATTAGGCCACCTTTGTGAAAAATATTGTCTCTACAAGAAATGAAGGTGTAAGAAGAAAGAGAGAAATAGAAAATCAGAAGACAGAAAACAATTGCTTCATCCCTTAGAGATAGGAGAACTACTTGAACTGTGTGTTAAAATAAATCATATGATGAAGGGCATTTAATATTTGATTACTGTTTCATTTCTTACAGCAGCTAGCCATCATGGCATTAAGTACTTTATAAAGTCAGGAAATTAATGGTCCTTGTAAGAATTGAAGATTTTTTCCAAAGAAAGCTGTAAAAGAACAAACAATTAAAGGTAATCAATATCATTGTTATTAGGAAACCTACAAGTACAACACTTCTTGTCAATTAGGGAAAAACTGTATTTTATGTTTCTCTCTTGCAAGCTGATCTTTGTTCACTTCAGCCTGTAATCTTGGTTTATGCTTTATGGATAGGCTTTGTTCTGGGTGTTTTTGAAGCATTGCATGCTTTTTTAAAGGTTTCAACAGAAGAACAAACAGCAATGAACTCGAAGAACAAAGGACTGTTCTTTCTTACCATCTTTTTTTTTTTTTTTTTTTTAATCTTTTCTTAAGAAAAGAAAGAAATGTTTCATCTCATTTTTCTCTTCTTTCAGGAAGTTGATGGCAATAAAGTGATGTCTTCATTTGCCCCGCACAACTCATCTACCTCACCCTTGAAGGCAGAAGAAGGTGGGCGTCAGAGTGGAGAATCATTGTCCAGCACAGCCCTGGGAACCCCTGAAAGGCGCAAAGGGAGCCTAGCGGATGTTGTAGACACCCTTAAGCAAAGAAAAATGGAAGAGCTCATCAAAAATGAACCAGAAGGTAAGGCCTGGGAAACTGGCCAAAATTTTCTGTTTTGTTTTCTCCAGATTCTCTGGATATGTACACTTTTTAATCTTCCTATTTTCTGCTCCATTTACTTCTTCTTGCTAGCAGAATTGAAATAAAGAACTCATAGTACTTGTCTACATTAGAGATAAATTTTAACTGTATCCCATCATAGCTAATATTTTTAGCTTTTCCCAAATGGGAGGCTTTGTCTGACATACGGTCTTTTTGTCACAGATGCAATAGACACAGTATCCTGTTAACCTCCTCAATATGGGTACAGTGAACATTTTAATTTTAACAGTTTGGAGGTCATTTACATCGCTCCACACCCTCTACCCCCCTACCATTTTTAGAGCAAAAACGGTGTTATCAGCAATGTCGTGTGTGTGTGTGTGTGTGTGTGTAAAAATATCTGGTAGGCATGTCATTATTTGAAAGGTAAGAAGTTAAATTTGGAATTTCTGCATCATGTCATTCTCTATTTATCTGTAGTGCAGGGTACAATACAAACAAGCACAGCACAGGTTTTCTCCGTGTTGCTTCCAGCCAGCAAGTTTCAACCCAGGCACATAGGAGTCACCGCTTGAGAATCAGTTTCTTTTTGGAAGTCCAGTCAGTTTTAACGCCGTTTGTGCTCTGTGCACTGAGACTAAGACCCAGCATTTTCTCTCTGAGAAGCTACAGAACAACTTTAAATAAGATTTTCAGTTCCTGTCCTTTTGAGGTAGAATTAAACCCCTGACTGGACGGCGAGGTTCTCACTATAACTTCCATAAGTATCTAGCATGCGTATTTACAGCTGGATTCCCAAGAGTCTTTAGACCAGTTAGTGTTCTGTGAACTCACTGAGCCTTATTCCCTAATGCACAATAATAACAATTAGTTTTCATTCACACCTGCCTGTCTTGTTGTAGAAATGTATTTCAAATGTTTAAAAGCATGGCCCTCAAAGCCACCTCTGTGTTTAAGTATGAATTGGCAGCACCCACTAGGAAAATCTGCGTTCTGGAGTGAAAATAAGATTGCCACACTGTGACGAAATGAGCATGACGGATTGTAAATTAATCTCTTCTTGACTGGAACACACAGTTTGGCTCTGCTGGGAAACAAAGTCTTCATCTGAGCTATTTTTTTGGAATATCATGTATAATCATAGCATTTCATTTTGAGTTTATGCTGACTTAATGGCCAGTGCCATGACCCATCTTGTGGTTTTGATTTGAAAGGTTCTGAATATAGTATAGAGAGGGAAAGGGAGACCAGACTTCTATTTGAGAGAGGAAAGAGCAGAGGCTTCTGTGTTGAGTGTGAGGTTGTACCAGCTGCACAGCCTCCATTGAGGAAAGGCCGTAGACAGCCATGAGAATGGTTACAGAGCTTGTGCATTATCTCAGCTTTACTAAAATGAAAATATACAGTACAAACAAAAGATCTACAGCTTTGTGAAGAGATTGGAAGAGAGGGGAGGGGGAGCAACCAAATGTTGGGCTTTGTAAATGCATGCAACAGAAAATCTTTTCTTCCCCCTGGCCATTGTTCTATTGTCTTTCAAAGGCCATTAAAATGAACAGCAGGTTGTGATGAAAATTTCATTAAGCCCTAGTTAAATCATTATGAGGGTGCCATATTCATGTCTACTTACTCTCCATCCAGGAAAAAAATGAATAGGAAAGGTTGTTTTGTTGTTTTCTTTTTTTTTTTTTTTTTTTCCTTTTCTCCTTAAAAGAGAACTAACAAAAGTTCAGAACTTAGAAGAGAATGGGAAGTGGAACATGAAACAAAAGGAGGCCAGAGAGGTGAGCTGGCTAGGAAGAAAATTATACTTGCATAAGAGCATTGAAAGGTGGTGAGGGACAAATACATCATTTTGACAAGTCTCCCTCCCCCTTCTCTTCAGTCAACATGATTGTTTTCAGAGTGGCTAATTAAAAAATATACTTCTGGGTACAGATGGCAAGACTGTTCTTAAGAGACTCTCATATCTCCATTGATAGGAGTCTCTTTCCCTGAAAGAATTACGTACTACTACAAGTACAATGATTTTTTAACTCTAGTTCATCTCTACTTCTCATGTCTTCCTCATACAGTGCTGTAATACAGGTGTCAGTCATCACTGTTCGCTGGTCAGGTGATTAGCACATTAGTGAATTTCCCTTTGAGTAAGATAAGGTGTGAGTGGAAGCCTTTGGCAGTACACATAGGTAGTAGTTCAAAATGTGTGTTTCAGTAATAATTTTTAGTCTTGCTTGTTTGTGAGGCTTTGTAGGATAAGACCAAAAATGTTGGTTAAGCTTTGCTGCATTACATCAACAACAATAATACAATATTTTATTTCTCTTTGGGAAGAAAAGGGAACATTTACACCAGCAACTGAGATTTAATTAAATCAATTTCCCATGGATCTTTCAAAGACCAGATAAGAGCCAGATTCCCATTCCTCTATGTACTCAGAAGTTTATATATTATTTAACTTGTACAATGGTCTGTGTTTGCTCTGTTTTTATTGTTTGAAATTGACTTCTGAATTACAGTGGGAAATGTGCTTTTGAAGCATTCTTTCAAATGTTTCTTCAAAACTGAAAAAGAAAAAAGAGAAAAAAAAAGTGCTGGGTAGACAGCTTTAGGTCTTGATCCAAACTTCCCATCAATCGGTGGAAGAACTTCTCTTTTCTTAAATGGCTTTTGAGGACAAGTGAGATACTCCAAAATATTGATTCAGGCCTGACTGTTTCAAGAAACTTTATTAACATAAGGCAAATGGTTTTATTAAATTATGTTTGTTAGAAAGTAAGTTGACACCTTATTACTTTTCATCAATAAATGATGAGGATTTTTACAGTGTTATGAAACGTACTGCTCAGGGTGCATAAATACATACGTGTATGTATGCACATATGTGAGTACACACGTGAGCCCACAGGTGCATTGAGAAAGGGAATCATCACTGTTCAAATAAGTGGTTTCCATGTTGTTTTGTTGTTTATAAGCCCTCAGGTCACGTTCCCTGTAGGAAGCCGTGCTACCTACTAATTCCTAAGAACTTTCCAAAAGCTTGTCACTTCCTTTTCTTCCCTGCATGTGCGTATGGTTTTGGTTTTCATAGGGATTTATACTTAGCTCTTAAGCCCATGCTCCTCTTTTTTTTCCTGTAAACTTGCCATTTTACTTTTGCTTTATGAAAGTACATGATTGACAATGAGTCATGCTGACACACAGGCATGGAGTGTTTCAGTGAATCTAAAACTTGTGGAATTTTACTCATTGCTAATACAGCATTCATTTTTATTCTCTCAAATTCTGCAGAAAATCCTTATGTGCAGCTTTAGTATTTAGGCCCCCAAAGGCATAAACCTATTACTGAAGTCACACAATGTTATTTTAAATGAAACATTCTGTCCTTTCTAACTTGAACTTCAGAAGAGGAGTCAGTCCCCTTTTATTCCTGGTATACAATAATGAAGATAATGGAGTGGGTTTGGAGAAGCCTTATATACTGTGACAGACCTCAAGCCCTTGCCCTGAGGGTCGTCTGCCGACCATGGGATTCCTTTTGCAGCTAAAATCATTAGGCGAATGAGATACAGGCATGTTTTTCTTCTGTTTTCTTAAGGCATCAGAGGATGGCAGAGACTCTCTGTCTGTCTGTTCTCTTCATTTGTAGAAATGAAATGGAAATCTCTTTGAAGTCACTGAGCTTGACACAAGTTCATGAAAGCAAAGACCAAAGCAGCCACTTAGCTTTTTCTTGCACTATTAATGGGATTGGATAGCTGTATATTAATTCATGGCTTGTGCTTCTGGAAAATTAAATCTCTGAAATCTCTGTAGCCTTTGCTCTGGACATAGGACTTGGCTTCTGGAAAAAACAAAAAAATATAGGCAAACAAGTAAGCTGTCTCCTATTTTAGGAGTGCTCACTGGCTCTTTCCATCTAAACTTTTAATTACAAATCAGTTGTCTTTTTCAGTTTTGTTCAAAATGTTTTCAAAAGGTTACATATCTGTCTGTTTGTCTTTAAAATGCCTGAGCTGTGACTTCTGAAGCAAGATCCATATTATTGTACAGAATATGGAGAATTCTGGATAAAAAGGATCATATGGACATCTGCTTGACCACAGAGATTGTACATACGAGTTTGTGCATTCATTCATCTGTACGGCTCATTCTTCTATAATAAGAATCTCTGACAATTCTGTTTTGCTGTTTAAATGAATACTTGGATTTTTTTTCTATAAATACATATGCACAGACATACATGTAAAGTGTATATTTATAAGTAAATATTTATATCAACACTCACACACAATAATTATGTATATATAGTGTTTAATATTGTTCCTACTCCAGAATTTCCATCTGCTAGTCCTTAGGTCTTCTGAGCAGGAACAATTAATCTCGAGTGTTTAGAAAGCAGATAGTATATGTGTATATACAGGGCTTCAACAAGCTGTGTGAGTATTAGATCCTCATCTATAGTAGTAGACTGTAACACTGTAAGTAATCATTTTGTTGGAAAGAAAGTGATAAGAAAGATCTCTTGGGCCTGATTTTTGTCTTCTGAGCATCCTCTAAAGCCTATTTGTGTTTGATGTTTTAGTTTACATTATAAATCACAACACCTGTTCCTATGGTAATTTAAATGGCTGTTGTTTAAGCAGTTCTGTCTATGAAAGTAAGCCATATTGAATTCAAACTCTCTACTTGAAGTAAGATCCCAGAATATCTCCTAATATTATCAAACTTTTAATCATCATATCTTGTAAAGAAGTCAAGAGATCTCCCTCTTCTTCAGCCATAAATTCCTGAGCAGACCATTAATGGACACAAGAAGAGAGTCCTTTGAAAGCAGACTCCAGTTTTTAAGTCATGTCTGGTGTGATGGGAAGAAATAAAGTGAATGAATCCAGGGGAAAAGCCTCAGGATACTCTTATTGGTTGAGGTCTGAGTCTCTCTCATTTGGTTCTTCACTGTCCCTTTGACAAAGAACACG